ATGTGTATTGATTGATGATCGAAAAATCTGTAGTGGTAATGTTTTCACAGAAGTGATAGCTTTTATAGGAGATGAATCTCCGAGATAATAACGCAAAGCATTTGTGATGACAGGCATCATACTTTGTGTGGTTATATTTAACATAGATTCAGTAACAGCAGCTAAATCTAAAACTGTATGAACTCTACATAACCAAATCATCCATGAATTTAATGTTGTCCACCAATCTGAATAATCAATATTACAAAATCTAAAAGAAATATAAAATAAATTTAAAATATATAAAACTAAGCATATTACACAATATTTACTTATTATTTATTTCTAATTTTAAGTGATCCGCTAAAGCTATTTTAGAAATTAAAAAAGATTGGGTGTAATCATTTTTAAGTTTTTCAATTCCAATTTCAATTAATAACTGAACAGGGTCATAAAGTTTTTCTGGATTGGACGCTGTATTTCCTGGTAATGACTTTAATATTTGAGCTAATCGTGTACCATTTGTTGATTTAATCTGTAATAACATATCAATAACATATTATAATATAATAATCAATGGTTTATTGTCATTTTTTAATGTCATACACACCAATGGTTTGAAAGTTTCATTTCTTACTGCTTTGTACAAATGTTTGAAGCATTCTATTAGATCATTATACGATTTGCATTCTGAATAATATTTAAATACATTTTATTTAAATTTTAAAAACATGCCATTATTACTTGGTACTAACCCAACAAATAGGTCCATAGTTTATCGGTGAATTCTTGTTGAATACATTCAGCAGCAATAACATCTCTGACACATTGACAAAATAGTTTTTGATCATTATCTTCTTGTCCTCCAAACTTACCTCGTTTGTATAATGTAGAGGATATGCTTTGCAACATAGAAGGAAACAGTTCAACGATTTGTCCATTAGCACTGCCTCTTATATCACCCTTTAAAATTACATACAAGTTATATATCAAAATAAAATAGTGCTTATAAAATATTTACTTGAAATTGAGGAAACACAATGTTATGTCTATTTGTCAAACATTCATCTTTCAAATATGTTAGTTGTTCTATTAAATCCTCTAAGAAGAGTAATTGGTGCCACAATGAGTGTAATGGACTAGTTTCGTGGCCTAATGTACACTGGACATTCTACAAAATAAATATTTATAAAAAATGAGTAATTAATATTTGTTATTATTGACACGACTTGCAGTATTCTGAGAGCACTTAGTGACCGTATTACAATTGTTAAACTAAGGTTAAACCACCGAATTCGGCTGGTAAAATCAGTGGGTTAGGCTTAACCGAGATTTAAAGTATGATTGTAAACGGGCCCTTACCAATTTTAGTATTGTGAGTTTAATAATTACTAATTAGGTATGGGCAAATTAAATAACATTTTTATTTTTTATTTTTTATTGAAAATTTTTTGGAGAGAAGCTAAAATTATTTAAAATTCTAACTACAGGTCTTTGCAGTGTAATTCAACTACTTTAAAGCAATTGAAAATTCAAGGTAGTTAGACCATAGGTAATAATATACACAAACGTATGCATATTTAATATTTATATTACCTGTAGCTTCGACTAGTGTGGTCCTACCTTTTGCAGTTAGCAGCATAGGCGGAATTCCATTAAAATTTCTGGAAGGGCTAACATTATTAACATGAATGCTGGCTTCGATCCTACAAAACTAAAAAATAAGGGGGCTTCACGGACATTTAAAGAGGTTGAGCCCCCTTAAGACCTCCCGCCCTGATGTCTGCCGATGGTTAGCGGGCCAATTTACACATTTATATAAACACCGGAGGCCAAAAGAATTAAAAAAATATTTATTCATATTTTATTTTATTTAATAAAACAATATATTGTTATGACATTAAAGATTTATATTAATTGATTATTATTTATTATTAATCGACAATATGACCAACTGCTGATGGCTTACTAAGTCTTCTTAAGTTCTATGAGGTGTCAAAAAAAAGACTGAGGGCTGAGGGTTGAACCCTACCCTAGCTTAGAAATAACAAGCACTTTTCAATTTATTGGATAAATAGAAAATCTATCTATTTCATGTTTAAATAATTATATCATATACTTACAATAAATGATTCTGTTGACATTAGAGGAGCAAAAAGAGATGGTCGTCGCCAGCTAAGATTAAGTATGACCATGCCAGGACCATTTTCAATAAAAGTGAACTCTTCAGTATTAGTAGCTGAAGTCAAATTTATAACTGCAGACACTTTAGACTCTAACTAGATTTAACAAACATAATTAATATTTTTTATAACGTACAAGAATAATACAATCATTTTAATTAAACTGAAATTTATTTACAATCATATTTGACGCTTGAGGAAATTGTTTATGTGTTTCTATCATAGTTTGTATAGAAAGCTCATCATGTGCCACATTATTATGTCCTTTATACTCGCCCCAATAACGAGAATGCCATCCATCTGATATATCACCACCCAATAAAATTGTATTGTTTTTCAATCCATCGCATAATATAAATAATGGTACACTTAAAAATTGTTCATCCTTCAACTTTAAGTATACCAATTGCCTAAAATATAAAAATCAATAAAAACTTTAAAGTATCAACTGAATACTGATGCAAGTTATTTTGCACGCCTTTTTAATAGGGTCCCTGGGTTAATAAAGTTTAAGTTTAAAAGCATGCCAACAATATTAATCATCACTACTGAAAAGTTAATGATTAATTGTTCAATTGTTTTAATCTATTTATAAAATGAACAGATAATATTTAAAGAATTAGGTTTAATTCAATTATTTTACCTTGCTTGAAGCAAATTTAAAGGAATATGACTGTCTTCTGGTTTGTTTATTTCTACGTGAACTTTTTGAGCTTTTATTGGACTGAAAGGGCATTCTAACGGATTTCCAGTTAATTCTAACAACAAATAATAACAAATTAATACTACTTTAGTTACCTACATAACTGAAATTAATCTTAGGCACCTAATTCATCATACTCTTCATCCTCAGAACTTGAACAATTTTTAACAATAGAATTCACAACTTTTGGGGTATGCTTTTTCTAAAAAAATCAAGAATTATTATATTATATTAATTTAAAAATATACCTATATACCTAGTAAATATACACAGTAATTATACTCACATAAATGTAGCCAACTATAGGTTTTTCAATACCACTCAGACAAAACGGGCGAATATATGAGATAGTATTAGGATCACATTGATTCAGAACAAATTCAGGGTGTAAATTTACTTTTCCATGGCAAAATTTAAGAAAATTGTTGAGATCCATCTAAAAATTAATGATGACAAATTAACTAACATCAGCTACCATTAAATGTTACGAATGTATACACATATATTAATATATTAAAATACAAAACGATAAACTAAAGTTGAATGTCCTTACACTACTTAATAATCTACCTATAGCGATTAAAAATGTACCTACTGTAGAAATTAATTATAATGACGTTTAAGGGACTACAATGGTGTTGTGACCAATGTCTGAATGGACTATTATGTCTTAGTAAAATCTCGTTTTATCTTGTAGAAATCAAATTCTATGCAGTTTCATCGTTAGATTTCAAATGTTTTTAGTGATATATCATGTAAATAATTATTATACAACTTGTAACTATAGATCCAGGTCAGGAGCGGCTCCAGAGACATGGTTAGGGGGGGGGAAGGAGGGTAAGTCATAATATTTTCAGAACATGTCGATGATTTTTTTTTTTGTAATTTTGTTTGTAACAGTATAATTTTATTTAGAAATACAGCTTGGGGAGCCGCGGCACCCCTGATGGCTGATACAGGTATATTGTGCTTCAAGGAAATAATAACACTTCAATCATAAATATAAATAGGTATATATAATACATACATAATTAGAAAAATTATATAAATACCATGGTACTATGGAAAATATGTAATCAAACATAATAAAAATATAAATATAAAATAAAATATATAAATATAAATAATATTATAAATATAAATATATAAATTATAATATATTATAAATATATAATAAAATATAAATCAGCATAGGTAGGTCGTAAGTACTTACATTTAGTTTTGAAATTAGAAATTGTTTTACTAAAAAAATAATTCTTCTAAGTATATATTATATTATGTCTGCATCTATATGTTTAAGCCACATAAGTTATCAAAGTATCGGTGATTAATTTCTGCAGTCTCTATTGAGCAACAGCTTCAATGTGTCTGTGTCCCGACTCCTGGCTTCTTGTCTTATCTCAGAAGGGATAAGGGAATAGGGATTGTTATATTATGTTATTATTTTGTGAATTTGTAATGAAACTCGAAACTTTTAACAAAAAATAACTCAGGTATTTAATATTAAGTAATAATCGGGGTAGGTATATTATTATTAGTTTAGATTTATAAAATATTAACTTAACATTATAATAGTATTGTTCAATGAAAACAAATTGGCGGGAAAAACAATTGCAGGTTAATATTGATAATATAATATTTATTTATGATAATCAATAATCATAGAACATGATAATATCCCAGAACACGGTCTTAGAAGATAAGACCGTATCCTAGAATATTATTTCATAATAATATATTATTATATTCTGTGATGTGATAATATTAACCATTTTCTATGATAGAAGTTATTTGATATTTCTGTCATGATGTTATTACTTAATACTTATTAATGTTATTTGTTTTGTGGAAAATAGAAACGTGGAGTAACTGAACGTCTGAACTTTAGTTTTACCACAATAATTACTGTACAGTCGTGCATTATATTTTATACTTAAGATTGGATTTAAATAATTTTAAATTTACGGTAAATAGTGAATACATTGTGAAATTATTTACATTTTACACTTTACATTAACTATTTATTTATTAATTGTACCTATTTACCAAAAATTGTTAGTAAGAGCCATTAATATTTATTGTTAAATAGGTACTAGGGTCTTCTATAGTCCTAACCAGCAGACATTTTCATAAATATGGCTGTTAGCCACTTTGATGAAAAAAGTGGTATTATACCATGTAATACGGAATGGGGTAGATGGTGGCAAACTGTGGATGAATTACATATTGAAATAACACTGCCAGTTAATACCAAATCCAAAGATGTCAAAGTCAATGTCACTAACTCAAGTATTACTTGTCAAATTTTAGGAAAAACTTTATTTTCTGTTAGTTTTTAACCATTGTTTTTAGTGTCATTGTATTATATAGTTACCAATCTTTGTCCTTTCAGGGAAATTTATTTAGAAAAGTACGCTCTGATGACACTTTATGGACATTAGAGGATAATGGTACTTTGTTAAACATTGTATTAACAAAAGCAGATTATTCAAATAAAGAAAATGTTTGGGAAGCTATAATGGAGGATGGATCATTTAAAGCAGATCCAATAACATATATTGAAATGATGAAAAAAATGGATCTAGAAAAGCTTCAAATGAAGGTATGTACCTAAAATATTAAAACACTTAAAATAATTAAATTAAAAATCAATGCTACCTATACATTTTCAAGCAAAATCTAACACTTCACAATAGTCTTCACTTGGGTACTCTTTAAATATGAAATCAGTTGAATAGGTAGTCAATATTTTTATTTGATGTTATGTGTAATTTACACTGTTTACACAGTGTAAATCATTAAGATATAAACTACCTAATAAAATTTATATTTAATAGTTTTATGTTTGAAATGGATTTAAATAGTTTGAATTAATTTAAATTTTAAATTGAGGTATTTAATATTTATTAATATTAAAATATAATTCTTGACATTGGGTTTTAAGTTATGTGCATAATTTAAATTATAAGGGATATTTACAAAATCTATAATTATTAAAACAATTAATAACTGAGAAAATTGATTATTGATTATTCTTAGTAAGGTATTTTATTATTATTTATTTAATAAATCAAATATATGAAGACTAGAATAAGGAGACTAAACTCCACTTCTGATAAAGTCCCGAAATGAGTCGTACGATTAAACGGCCGCAGGCTGCTCCGCGTACGATAGGGTTGCTTTTTTTAACCCGTGTAGTATAGGGATTATTCATATTTTTTGCGTTTTTTGGAAAATATATGTATTATTTCTGAACCCTCTTTAGATTTTATAGCTTGTACGATTATGTATTTATACATGTGCATAAGTGTAAATTTCATAAACATGTTATTTTTAAAAAACAAATTTCAGTGTAACGATACGTATATCCGTATAAAATGATCGTTTAAGAAAACACATGTGTGTGGTTTAATGAATTGTATCGGACTTAGACTTGCTGTGAACAAAGATTATATAGGTATAAATTACTAGGTATAGACATATAGTGTTAAAGGATTGTATAATTTAATTATTTACACAGTTTTTCATGCGGGCGGACTTTTGGTCTCCTTATTCTAGTCTTTATGTTGAAAAAAATTATAAATTATAATATCTTGTATTTTCTTTTCAGATTCTATAACCCTTAAAATGTTCTTTAAAATTATTGAAAATAGGTAATTAGAATTTTTTAATGTGATTATACTTTTTGTGAAATATCTACCTTGCATAGATACCTATTCACTGTAATTAACCAGTTGCATTTAATAACAATATGCAATATTTATTGAACTAACAATTTATAACTATGATATATAAAAAAAAATATGTTTGTCATACCCATAAATATTAATGTTTTATACTTTTATATTATCAAATACATTATGTATTTGTATACTTAGGAAACTAACTCAACAATTTGTTAAAATTCTTTTTATTAGTACCGTACAATGGCGTTACTTTGATAATTTTTTCTGTTGTATAACAATTTTACTTTTTATTTTCTGGATAACTCTGTAGTATTAACGATGAAACTCTCAAAATTAAATCTGTTTTTTGAACTCTAAATAAGATTAAATTAAGTTTTGTTTTAATAAACTCATGCACTCAAAAAGTCAATGCTATTCTATTTTAATTTAGTATATTGATAACTATTATGTATTATTGTGATTAAATATTAATGATTTTATAATTTATATGGTGAATAACACTATTTTCATAAGTAAAGATAACTTTTTTTAATTTATTGCGCTGTTGAATTATGTTTTAGTACCCGGGAATGGACTTCAGTAGATCAGAGCTTCAAAAAAATTACGACTCTATACCAGGATTCAATTAATTATATACTACATTTATATGATTCAATTGTTATTTTTTAACTACAAGAATCTATATAATGAATATGGCTGGATTGTGTAGAACTGAAATTTATAATGTAATTATTTATGTTTTTTATCTCAATGTAGATCACTTCTATTGTATCTAATATTTAAATTAAAACTTTCATTGTTAGTTTCTATTTATGTCGATCACTAAAATTGATAATATTAAGTTATAAAATTCCTAATTTATTGTATTGAAATCATTATAACTAAGTGTCTCTCTTTTTACTTATGATTTATGCATATTTCAGTATTTTTCCCGAAACATTTATTGTTTATTAATACATTTTGAAATATTTTCTTATTTTAGTGATTTGATTCTGGAAAACAATATTACGTCTTCATTATTTAACATTTATACTTAAACATTTATTTATGATAAATTTATTAATTTATGAACATTGATCATCCATGTAAAAAATGTATATTTAATTAATTAATTTATGCAATGACTAATATATTAGATTCTGAGCAGGGCGAGGAAGCTATTGGTTTTACAACGGCGCTTATTTTTTATATCCTGTACCTATACAACATTTCTACCAGAAAGAGTGCTTCGATTTCAACATATAGTACCTTATCTTTTAGTAAACTGGATCAATATGGTACTTTAAAGAGGAGAGGTCATTTGTTTCTGAAATGGATGAGGTAACTAGTATATACGTACAAAGTGAGATGGCCCAATAAAGATTTTTTTGAAATTTTTATTCTATCTTAAAAATCTGGATTTATACAAATTATTTTTAGAACATTAGCTCAAATGTAAAAATAAATGGTCAAGTTGTATTTTTTTACAAAATTCTCATACGAATCGAGGCGTCACATAATTTTTACGCTTGTCGCAAGTTTTTCACGCTCGAATCGTCGACTAAAAAAAAAAAATTATGTGGCACATCGGTATGTATGAAAACACTACAAGATAAACAGTCGTGGTAGTTATTTGTTGTTATTTAAAATACATGATTAATTAACGCATTATTTTACATTGTCAACTAATAAAATGATAAAATAATAACAAAATTAGGGTTAAAAAAGTTTTAAATTATCGAATTTACTGATTTATTTCTTAACTAAAAATATAATAAAACATTGTATACCCATATTATGTATTAAAAAAATTAAAGTTTTATTAAAAAAAGGAATTTATATTTTTTATCTATGAAAATTTTATTTTATTATCAATGTAAAATGTTATACACAGTAAAACCACAGAACAAACCACAGGTTCTGTGGTAAAACCTGTCCTATCTAAATTGCACACATGCGGGGAAAAACAAAATAGTTTGTATTTCGCCGCATGCAGGCAACGCATTGTGTACAGAACAGCATGGTCAGTATATAAAACGAATGCACTCGCCCGCACTAGCTAGGACATAGGGTAGACGGATTTGCTTGTGGCCATCTAATTTTTCAGTCTCAACAGAGTTTCCGACTTGGCGGTGTTCATATTCATTATGTATTTGAATCGGGACCAAAGAAATTGCCCTTGGTACCGGATTTTCCATCTTAAAGAAGTTTTACTGCACTAGTACACTCATATACATATACATTAATAATAATTTTGTTTAAAAAACCTATGAGACTTCCCACCCATATCATAAAACTCGATGGTCATACTTATTTTACATTATTGTTTCCTATTTAAAAGTATATAATGGTGTGTTATGTGGATATTATTATATGTATTATTTTACCCAGTTTGAAAACCACTGACCTATAATATGGCTATATCATATATATATTGACATATTGTATATAGTATATAAATTATACAGTGTGGTTTTTTTAAGTATGCTTAACCCCATGTTTCCCTTAAATGCAGTGGCGTATAGGGGGGAGGCCCCCTAGGCCAGGGCCCATACTGAAATTGAAGGTTCAATTAAAGTATTTCATGTTTATGTACTTTCTACATTGCTCACAGTTTTTCACCATGATTAATTTAGCTGGTTGATTAAAATCGTTTTTGAGAAATCCACAAGGAAATGATTGTCAGGACGTGCTTTGATGACTTTGATGTTAAATTCACAATTACATAACATAAAAAAATATATTTATATATGAAATTGTCAATATTTTTTAAAAAAGAATTAAAAAATTAATTTTACACAATTATAAAATGAAATTGCTCAATTTTTATTTATATTGTATATATCATAATTATAACCACCCAGCTCCCTAAAATATATATACCTATATTGAAAAAATTGGCCCATAGTGAAAATATTTTGTATATACGCCACTGCTTAAATGGTATATTTATTCAAATTCTGATTATTAGAATTTTTAAGAATACCTAAAGACCAAATTTTTGTTTATTTTATACTACACAATATCCTGTGGCAATACAAACTTCTATTTTTCAATAAGAGAATCAGCGGTTATTTTTTTAAAAAAAATTGATGTATCTATATTCTATATCAAAATTCTAATGAGTAATTTTTGAGGTATTAAAATGTTTAAACTAAGAATAATAATCCTTAAAAATAGTCTCATAAAAATATAAACTATATGTAATATTAGATGTAATTTGTTATGGTATTTATTATACTTAGACCATTTTTACAAATTATTTATATTGATAGATAAATAGTAATTACCTACTAACTTTTTCAAATTGACTAAGCCTCCAAATATAATTAACCCATTGGACATTACCTTAGACCTTATCTTTAGTACACAAAGTTATATAGATTTTTAACTCAAAAACTATTTGATCAAAAAAAATATCTGCTAAATAATTAAAAATTTTGAGGGGGATTCCTATTTGAAAAACAAAAATTTGTTTTGTCTCAAGACCATCCTTAAGTGGTACAAAGTCTCATGGATTTCTAAATAAGGCTTTCTAGAGTCAAAACAGGCGTAGCGTGATGAATCTATCCATTTAAGGGAGGGATATAGCCCCCTTAGACCCCCCCCCCATTCTACACAACTACACCTATGATTCACAAGTGTATTTTAAAAATCCAAAAACCATAATTTGAATGCATGCCCAATTAAGCATAAAAATAGGATAAGGCCGGATGTAAAGATGTAGTTAAAAAGTTTATAAATTTTATAATTTTAAAATAGGGATATTAAAAACATAGAAAAGGAATTAAACTATTAATTTTAATTTTTGGACCACTACGGCATTACCGCTAAAAATTTAAATTTTAGTTTATTTAAGGTTATGTAATTTTCTTATCATTTTAATTTTTTTATCGTGGATAATGAATAATGATAATAAAGATATTATCTGAAAAAATATACCGATTTTCTATCGACTATCATTCTAAAATTTTAAAAAATTTGTATTATGTATTAATATTTAATACCATAGACATTCATAGTTAAATTTGAACAATAATTGCATTTAATAATTGATTGAATGAATATGAATAAGTGGGTGTTTAATGTAAGGCTTTCTCGAAATATTAAACACATCCAGTATTTGAATATTAGATTCTACTCGGATTCTGCAGCAGTTAGAGTACGATTTGCTCCAAGTCCTACTGGTAGATATTTCATTAGTTATTACCATTACTTATATTTAATCTATTTATAATCATAATTAAATATACATATGATTTTAATCATATTTTATTGAGAAGTTATATTAATTACTAAAAAATGACTAAAATCTTTAAAAGTATATAACCTAATTTGAAAAATTATTTATTCAGGACAGTTACATTTAGGTGGATTTCGTACTGCACTTTACAATTATTTATTTGCTAAATCAAGAGGTGGTAAATACATTTTAAGAATTGAGGATACTGATCGTACAAGAGTAGTGGACGGTGCGGTAGAACAACTTCAAGAAGATTTGAAATGGCTGGGAATTGAATTTGATGAAGGACCTAGTAATAATGGACCATATGGTCCATACATTCAATCTGAGCGCCTGGAAAATTACCAGTATAAATTAATGTGATATTTTGTAATTTATACAATTCATATTCGCATTGTTTTAAGGAGAAGAACACAGCAATTGTTAAGTAGTGGACATGCCTACAAATGTTATTGTACAGAGAAAAGACTAGAGCTTTTAAGAAGAGATGCATTGCGTACTAGAACTATTCCCCGCTATGACAATAAATGTAGAAGTTTAGATGACGAAGATTTAAGTCATAATGAAGGGAAAAAATACTGTATCAGATTCAAGGTACATTTTTGATTTTTCTAATTTAATTTGTAACCATATCTAATGCATAAGAAATTAATATTTAGTTGAACCAAAGTGATGGTTTTTTCAATGATCTAGTCTATGGTCGTACTGCAAGAAATGTGGCTGCTGTTGAAGGAGACCCAGTAATACTAAAATCTGATGGTTTTCCAACTTATCATTTAGCTAATGTTGTCGATGATCATGATATGAAAATTACACATGTCCTTAGAGGTGTTGAATGGCAACCATCAACATCTAAACATATTTTACTTTATAGGTTAGTAATTCAGTAATTAAAAATAAAAGTTATTATTTATGTATTTCTAACGAATTCAGAATATTACAACATTACTAATTTATATATTCTAGAGCATTTGGTTGGAATCCACCAAACTTTGCACATTTACCATTGTTGATCAATAAAGATGGAACAAAACTTTCAAAGCGTCAAAATGATATAACCATCAATGCATATCGTGAAAACGGCATTTATCCTGAGGCACTTTTAAATTTTGTTATTAGTTGTGGGGGAGGATTTGTTCAGAATAAAGAAACAAATAATGTTTACATAAAACCTCTATCAGAACTTATTTCTAAAGTGGGTATGAATTAATAATAATGTCAAAGTTAAAAAATATTTTAATTGTTGTAATTTTCATATAGTTTGACATAAGCTTGATAAATTCAAATTCATGTCAGGTCCCACTGGATAAGCTTGGATATTTTAATCAAGCTCAATTAAAAATTGAATTAAACACAGATTTAGGAAGGAAACGAACAACTGGTGAATTAAAAAATATTCTTAAAAATACATTTTCTAACGAGTAAGATTTAATTTCACTGTTCTATAGTACATAATTTTTAATTGTTAAACTAAATTCAGAGATATTGATTTATGAACATTTTTAAAAATATTTTTATTTATGTACTCTATATAAACTATACTTATACACATATTTAATTTTAGCAAATCAGTGGAATTAGATTTATCTGAGAATCATTTAAACAAAATACTTAAGTGGAGTATTAATAGGATAACAAATATTAACGAACTAATTCATGAAAACTATAAGTTTATTTGGTTAAAACCATCAGAATCGGCAATAAAATCTATGGATTATGATATAGGTAAAAAAAATATTTTTATAAGATAATAACATAAATAATTATTTATTAAAGATATAACACACAGTTAATTATGATTTTGTTCTTATAGACATAGTAATCAAACTAAAACATCATTTGATAAACATAGATGATTTCACTATTGATAATTTAGGAACGGTATTAAAAGAATTTTCAAAATCAAACAATATTGTTTATAGTAATTTAATGAAAATGCTACGCAACATCATCAGTGGATTGAAGGCTAGTAAATTTATAATTAGATTATTATTTTTTATTTATTTTTAAATAACTTTTATTATTTATATATTCTTCTTTGCAGCAAGGTCCAGGTGTTAGTGAAATAATGGTAATACTTGGCAAAGAAGAAGTGATAGCGAGATTAAATAAAGCCTGTGTAAAGGGCTGAACAATATCTAATTTCACTATTAAATATGTTTATTTTAACAATTATGTACTAGCAAATATATTATAATGTGCAAACTTTTTTGAGTAGTTATTTACCCTTGTCATCTGGTCCCTATAAATAAAAATAACATTTGTAATGAATTAAATAATTAATTTTCTTTTAAATTTACATTTTTTCCATTAAAAACCATTTGTTTAAAAGATTCCAGTGGTTCTTTCACATAGTCAATCAATGAAAAGAACAGTTCTTTTAAATCAGGTTTGCTACTATCTTCAGAATTGTCTGACTGGGACTCAGCTTTTGGTAGTGGCAATGATGGTAACTCAAAACCAGTTAAATCCTTAGTTACTAAAACAAAATTACATACAGTTAATTCATATGTAGGGTGATTCCCTAAGCATGTCGTCTTCTATTTTAAAAATGCATTTTATAACATTTTTGTTTTTAGAATATGTATTTAAAAATCTCATATTATAATTAAATACTTAGATTTTTCACCTATGAAGGAGTAACAAACTTATTTCTTTCAAATGATAACCACACATTTCTACCATAAGTTACATATATATATTTTATTTTAATGTTGATACATAATTCATATGATGAATGTCTTGGTTATTAATATTTATGTACTATGGATAGTAAGTACTTAATAATGGATTCATATAAAAATAAAATAAATGTATTATCTAGTCTAGTACTTATCCTTAGTACATAAATATTTATAACTCAGAAGCTACTCGTTCAATTTAGATGGATAAACATATTTTTAAAAATGATCCGTTTAATATTTTACTGTAGAAAAAGAATGGTTCACATTTCAAAACACTACGTTTGTACAACCACAAGAAACTCTTTAAACAATAAAGAATCTAAGTATTTGAAAATATGGTCTTTAAATAATATGTAAATGGCCATTATTTTTCAAATTTAAAAAATCAGAATATGCATAAAAGGATATTCACAATAAAAGAATAAAATTAGAGGGTGTATGTACGATAAATCTATATGATATAATTATGTTACTACCAACCATTATTTATCAAATGATACGAAACAATAGAATAACGTTTGATGATTTTAGTAGCTTCTTCAGATTCTTTTGGATAACCAACATAAAATGCAGCTGTTGCTCCAGTTGTGGCATAGACTAGTTTTTTAAACTTTCCTTTTCTAGCTGCTATTAATAAACCGGCTAAACCGCTTCCTGCCACAAATCCAGCTCGAAGTGCAGAATTATTTTCTTGCCTCAAATCGTCCACAAAAGCTTAACATTTAAAATAACAAAATTAATTACAATATACACATAAAAAATATTTCAATTCTGGTTTGATGTTATACTTATCTTCTTAGGAATGTTATTTTTTAATATTAGGTTAATAGATTTATTATTAAATAATATGAGAAAATACTTTGCATTCTCTAGTTTGTTAATATTTTAACATATTTACATTTTAAAATGATTACATAAAAAATAGATAATAGAAGAAAATTTAAAAAATGACTTAAGAATAAAGGTGGTACCTTGTATATTTTCTTTTAAATTTTATGATTAAAAATATAATCTAATGCCAAAAATAAATAAATCATAATGATTATGTCAAACATAAATTAACTAGGATGTCTATGTTGTGTGTATATAAAACAGTGAAACTGTGAAAGCAAATATAGGTGTCAAGTTCTACAAATAAATAATACTAAAATAAAATATTGATTTGATAAATAAGAAAATAAAATAATCCTACAAAAATTTAATGTATGCAGATATATAAAAACAAAGGCGATGTCTCCATTAAAAAAAAAAAAAAACAGGATTTTTTCAATGTATTTTTTATTAACTATTAGTTTCGGTGCTAAAAATGAACCCAGCCTAGTTTTTAGGGTTCCGTACGGTAAAACTGAAGTCTATTACTGAGGCTCCGCTGTCCGCCCGTCCGTCTGTCATCAGGCTGTATCTCGTGAACCATGAAAGTTAGAAAGTTGAAATTTTCACAGATTATGTATTTCCGTGGATGCTATAACAACAAATACTAAAAATCCTTTTTTTTTTTCTTCAAGTTCATAGAGAGACAGAAGAGGAACCGCGTTAGCATTACTTCTCCTCAATACTAAAAAACCTAGAATATATAATGTAAGCAGTATTGCCAACATAGCTGATAATAGTACGGAACCCTTCGTGAGCGAGTCAAACTCGCACTTGGCCAGCTTTTTTTAAATTTTTTACATGCATATAGTATTTTAAAATAGCTTGCAAACTATAGTTTTATAAGATAAATAATTATTAAAACATTTATATTTTTTGTAAAGACCTAGGCTTATAAATTATAATATTTCAACATTTACCAATAATTGTAAAGGACATATAAAGAAGAGATGTTTCTAATTCTATAAATTGTTTGAGGAAATAATTGAAGCTAATACATTTTTGTCCCAATGTGTTTTTCTGTAACAAGCATCTTGGTAGAAGATATTTAATATATTGTGAAAACTAGATAATATAATATACTGTTCAATATTCATGTATCATAAAATTCCTCTTAAACATGTGGAGGGAGTCACAGCAGTTAAGTAATCCGTATGCAGACAAAGTGGCATATTAAAATGTTTAAGATGTTTGGTACAGTTTATAGTATCTCCACGCCAACAGATTACATAGGTACATGATACTTGACCTTAGTAAAAAACTTATTGTTTGTGATGCCAAAAATCAATGAAATTTGATACTGGTTAAAGGAGAAAACCTTTGACTTCATTAGGTTTGTAATAGCCATAGGCGTGCGCACAGGGCGTGCCTAGGTATGCCCCGAGATTTTTCAAGGGCCGAAGCGCCCTATGTCTCAAACATGCTTATCAGTACAGGAGAACTGGGGTATCACCAAGCCATCCTCATCCATGACAACAATACATAAAAAAGATTTGAGTTCATTTTTGGCATGTTTATGATGCATCCAATATGAAATCTTATTTTAAAAGTTAGCTCAGTACTTCAATCACTAAAACTAAATCTTTTGTTGGCAATTGATAATGTACGGTCTTTAACATTAAATCTTAAAAGTATGAGAAATGAAAACAAAGAATTTGAAAATATTTTTGAACAAGCAGTTGCTTTATGTAAAAAACATGGAATAATTGTTCCAGACGTTATTCGTAGAAAAGTATCGACTCAAATTGATAACAAATCTAAATCTCATTTTTTTTTTAAAATGAATTAGATGAAATGAAGATATCAGTTTATTATGAACTACTTGATGATTTATTATCGGCAATGGATTCAAGATTCAATCAAGAAACTTTAAGCTTAATTGAAGCTATTGCTAGTCTGCTACACATGGAAATAAAACCTAAAATGATTGATGTTTTGGCTAAGTTCTCATATACATCAAGTACAGGTCTAAAAACTGAAATAAAAATTTTAAAACATTTGCCATAATCTGATAAACCTAATGCTACATCTAGTGAGTCCATTTATTTGTGGCTTGATTGGCTGAAAACTAACAATAGTATTTCTACCTACGGTTGTTTTTATAAAACCTTACAATTATTTACTATTATCCCAGTCACAAGTTGTACATGCGAAAGAGTCTTTTCCAAAATGACAATTGTAAAATCAAAACTTAGGAGTACGATGAAACAGGAACGATTAGATTCGTTAACTGTTACTATTCACCGAACAAGAGTTAACAAGTGGGATAAACTTGGATTCTGTCATCGATGAGCTCAATACCTTAGAGGCTTAGAAAATAGACGTATGAATCTGTAAATATTATATACTAACTAAACTAACCAGTAACCAATAATAATTAATAAATAAGTTATAATAAAAAAATGTGACTTGTTTCTGCTCTATTTTTTTTTTATAATATCTATACTATACTCTGGCTATGTGTGTATAATGTATAATTCAAATTTTCCACTGGCACGCCCCGAACTTAATCTCTGCGCACGCCTATGGTAATAGCAATAATCTTATTCTACATTTAGTTAGGTTACCAACTAAATTACATAATCGTTTTTTTATTTACACAAAAATGTATTTAATATTAGAGTTAAGGAAGTAAATTAAAGTATGTATTTACATTCTGTGTGGCTAGCCCCAGTCTGAAGGAAAATGTATATTCTATCTTTGACTTTGGACCATTGTTGATTTAAGCTGACAATTTCTTCTCTAACTTTTTGAATTGAACCTAATGCTACTGTTGGTTGCCAATCATCTTCTTTCTCACTGCAATTTAAATTATTATCTTTAATGCATGCATTTGAATTATTGGTATACAGCATACTTAATATTTGTTTATAGCATTAATATACAGATATATAGTTACTCACGTTTTCTTTTCTTTAGATTCATCAGGGTATATTGATAAATCCCTAGGTCTGACAAGTTTGCGTTCTTGTTCATCCTTTGCTAATACCACTGGCATTACTGTATAAGCATAGGCGGTTAATAAAAACCCATTGGTTGCAGTCTAATATTACATAGAAATTTATAGTTGAATTATCAAGAAAACACATGAAAAATGTTTAACGTCAATTTTATTTATAAAGTCGTCATTACACTTACTCTATTTTTAATAATGTTTTTAAACTTCATTTTTCTTAGATTGATCGCCAATGGAACTCAAGTAGACAAAATATACAACTAAAATACAAGCGGTGAAGAAGAACAAGTAGGTGCAGAAAGTAGTTACTAATTGGAGATAATATTTTTTTGAGTGACTTTTGATAAGAATAAAATAAGTAGACTACAGTAGTTGTTGATAAGATCATAAGCCAATCCCGAATCTTCAATCATGTAGTCATGTATCATTTTATAGTATTCTACTACTACTAAAATCAACATCCAAGATACAATTTTTTATCATTTAACACAACATTTGCAATTTGAATGAATATATTTTTTTAATATGCTCAAAGTCTAGGTATAAACTTAGTATTTATTGAATAACAAATATGGTCGAAACCCATAACGGGTTAATTTGTAACTGAAAAACAAAACAAGTAGCTACTGTGAGTATTCCGTATTTGTACTTCACAGAAATAAATATTATCATTAACAATAACGAAAACTTGATAATGTAATTATTTATAATATTGTCCATTTTCCAAAGTCCATGGACCTTATTGTCACGGTTGTCTGCATTATCCGTGACAAATAACAATACGAGTAATACAACACTACGACAGCAACATTATTAAAATTTTTAGGTAAAAATATAAAATACAATAAGCCTACAATAAGAAAATCATGAAACTTATTAATTAGGTTCCTAATTTAAAATATTTAAATGACTTTGGAAGTCTATTTGATTTTATAATAAATGTCAAAGTCAAATAGGTACTCAAATATGATTACTCTTACACACATAATTCGCAGGTTGTACATTTATAGGTAGGTATTTGTTATTTTTAACATCTCGCGTAACATGTTAATATATTATATATTATATTTACAATTCATCGTATAACTTAGATATTTTTTTTTTAGGTGCTACCAATCAGTGTATCCTTTAATGACCTCTACATCTTTCATTTCTTTCAAAAAGTATATTTTTACGATTTCAAAAGTTCCAATACTTTATATTTATCAGATATGTACACACATTTAATTAATTACCTACCTGTAATGTTACTTTAAAACGTTTTTTACATTTTAATTAATTTTTATTATAGGTATTTAGATATAAGTAATATTATACGATAGTCGTCCATAACAGTGCGTGCTAACTTTCATTGGCGCCCCATGGACCAGGGCAATAATAATTAAGCACCCCTATTCAACATTTTCCGCTCTCTAAAATGATACAACTTTTGCCCCCCTAGGGCACTTACCCATTTGCCAGTTTGCCACCCCCGTGGCACGGCTTTGCGCCTCTGCGTCCATAGGATATAGCTAATTGTTAGTTAGGTACCTATTATTTTTAAGACTGGCTAAAAATTGGGGAACTAATATTATAATTCAAAATGCCCTTTTGATTGTAAATAATTATACAATTTGAGAACATAGTATAATACATTCTGATGACTGCTTTCTAGTTAATTCTTTAATCGTGGAGATACCAAAAACGACATTAGCCTTTAACACCATAAAGTTACCTAAACCTAATAATAAATATGATTTTTGTCTTTTTACCACAATGTCTATAACATTTCATATTTTTATCTCTAAACTTATTAGTTAATAACAATAAGAACAGTTGTCCGTTGTAGTATACTACCCATGGTATAACTAATAACTTATATCACGATACTACCATTACTACTCTACTATAAAAAAAAAAAAAAAATAGTCTGAGTAGTCTATATTATTGTGTATTTTCCACTTTATCTTTTACCAAAAAAAAAATTCTTCATTTGACAAAAATAAAATATTTCGCAGCAGCTGTTAATGAGGACCACCAAAACATGGCCGCTGTGGCCTACTGTATTATCGTCTTATCACCTAATATCAATACAAGCATAATTATAATCACATGAGCTTATAAACTAACCCTTGTGAAATTGAATCTTAATATTAATATCCCAGTTTAAGTAATAAGCGCGAGTTAGTTGTGTTGCTTATTCTCATTTATTGTAATATAGATACATTTAATTATAGTTTGTATTAAAAACCAAATAAATATATGTTATTTAATTGTATATATTGTATATATAATTTTGTTATAAAAACACACATGCAAACTCATTTTTTGTGAAGAAAAACCTGTGAGTTTCATTAAAATATAAAATCAATACAACTATTTACTATACTTAAAAATTATTTTGGCTTTTTAAGATTAAATCTTTGAATTTCAATTAAAATGTCATGTTTATTAATCAATTGAAAAATTCTCAATAAAAACAATTGCCTCAAGTACCAGTTTTTACATTAGAAAAAAATTATCTAGGACATAACATTTTTTTTTTCTTAATTGCTTATTTAAATAAATTATTACAATCTGTACTAGAGTTCACAATAAGTAAAATGTTTAGTTATATAATGGAAAAGGGCTGTGAGAGACTTAAAGGCTCTTCACATTAGAAGCACCTGAGCTTGAGTGATTTACTTAAAAGGTATGCGTCAGAGATTGAGCAGGTCTCTAGGCTAGTTGCGTTTGAGGAGTCTTGGAGTGACAGTAAAATTTATAATTTAAATATTAGTGTTTGAAACTATTATGTGTTGATTTTCTTTACATGTTTAGAATATGAAAATGTATAATATATTATTTCTTATTTTAACTATTTCTTTTTAGTTCTTATTTTTAATTAATTATAATACATACCATGAACAAAATCCCTTACTTTTCAGGTGATTACTCTAATTCAATATACATTATGATGAGGTGGTCAAGAATGCCAAGACACTTAATGTCTGTTGTACGAATGCAGTCTTCTAGTATAACTACTACTAAACTAGTTCGCCTCGATGAATCAAAAGCGCCTAATAATATTGTCGCAGCCGCTTTTGAATCCTTAAAAGAAATTGATAACGCTAAATCAAAAAAATCATCATTCTATATTATAAATAATACAATTGATAATGCCACCACAGTCGAAGAAATATTGGCAATATCTGAAATAGGACTAGTCTCTAAACAACACGCACTAAAAGTAAATATTAATTTCATTGTTAAATGAATTTTATCATTCAAAAATAAATAAGATACGCATTATATATTTACAATTTTTTTAGTATTATAAGTTTGTTTAATTAATCTATATAATTGTATTCATCGTGTTATTTAAAATGTCATACAGTAAAATGATATTTTTACATTTATAACTAATTTATGAGATGTGAACATTTTGTTGTTTACCAAGTATCTTAATAAAATCAAAATAAACTATATTATATTTAAGATTTTAATTAAAATGTAGTTTTTATCATAGTATGTAATACACATTCAATTTTGATAACCTAACATAATTTGTCTTCTTTTATATATAGGCTGTATCTACTTTAGCTGAATGGGCTAGTTCTGGTCGTGTAAAATTATCGGAATTTGAAGCTGATTTAAGATTTTTAAAGTTATGTAGAATGTTGGGTAAAGAAAACACAAAAGAAAAAGAACATTTATTTAGTGATCTATCTACAGTCCTTGGCATTACAGGAGATGATGAAGCTGCCAAATTAATCTCATCAATAAGTCTGCCACAAATGGTCAAAGTAAATAATTTTAGAATACTTAGTGAAAAAATAATCTTACATACTTAATACATTTTAAGGTATTATCAACTCTTGGTGCTAAGAAAAAACGTTCCACAACTTTATTGCGATCACTAGCATTTAATATTGGAAGATGTTCTGAAAAGATGGATATTAAACAATCTGCTGATGTACTTTATGCTTTAGCTACACTTAATTTTCCTGATGAAGTACTTCTAGAAAAAGTTAGTGCAGATGTACGTAGTATTATGTCTACAACCGATCGGCCTTCAGTTATTGGATCAATAGTAACAAGTATTGGAATTTTACGATATCGAGATCCAGGTAATTTGCAATTTGCATAACACTTACATTTTTTTTTATAAATACTCGACTTACATAATAATACTTTTTGAGTAAATTGTATAGTTTAAAACTATACTGATGGTTAAATGTTTTACTTCATCATAAATGTGTAATATATTTTTATCAACAGTATTATAGGTTTTTAATATATTTATACCAATAATTTTTAGATTCTGAGTGGAACGATGAATGTATTGATTTTACAATGATGTGTTTTTTTTATTTTTATTTTTGTGTGTACACAATAAGTAGTTGAAATAATGCTTCGATTTTCAACTTCGGTATCTTGTTCGATGGGAAAGTGGAATATTGTTGGTGCATTGGGGAGGTCAAAATTTTATATTCACAGTAATTTTCAAAAGCGCCATGAAAAACAAAATAAAAATTTAGGAAAAACGGGAATTTTACGCAAAATCGATTTTTCACAATATCGACTTTGATTTTTGGTGTAACATTAAAATGAAAGACCGTAGTTACATGAAATTTTCGCTGGTTGTTTATATTTCCATTTTCTATACATGATAACATTTTCAAAGTATTTTGATTTGTTTTGAACTGTTTAGGGACATTTTCAGTTTCCAATTTTATTAGTTTTTTTTCTATGAATGTCAATAAAACTTTATTTATTGAGTAAAAATACTTGAAAATTTAATACTAGGCTCCTACTTTATTGTTACGATGACATTTGAAGAATATTAAAAATCCTTAGTCACAGTATTTTTTATAAGCATTTAAAGTTCAAAAATTGACAAAATATGGAAAAATCAAGAAAATTAGCAAATTATTTTGAGTTTAGAATTCATAAAAATTTTTCTTTTTAAATCTAAGATTTTAAAATATAATACAAGATTCCTTATAAGATTATCTACCTTTATCAAAATAAAAATGTCTATAGGAAAGTCAAATTAAATTTTTATGAGCGTTTGAAATTCAAATTTTTACAGCATTGAATATTCACTCGATTTCTCATCTAGCTATTTTCTTATTTTGTTGTAATTCAAAAACAAATAATTGTAGATACATGAAAAATTCACTGAATGTTTATTTTATCAATTCTTATACTTGATAAAATTGTCAAAATATTTTAACTTGTTTTGAGCTGTTTATAGACAATTTCATATTTTAATTTTTTTTTCTTTGAATATCAATCAAGTCTTATCTGTTGGGCCAAAAAGTGTAAAAATTTAATACAAGGCTCCTATACAGTATGTCCCAAAAGTCCCGTATCACCCTTAATATCTCCATGTAAAATCACTATATTTAAACGCGGTTTTTTTACAGTACTAAGTGTGAAAATTCTGATTGAATGGCATAAAATTCATTTATTTTATTCTTTAAATTCAAAAATTTTCAAAAAAATTTTTTACGCATTTAAGAATTTAAAATTTTTAAGATAGCCATTTTGTTGAGCATATTTTTTAAAACAGTTCAAAAAAAAAAAAAATATTAAAATTAAATAAAAATTGACCAAGTTAGAGCAAGTTATGTTTTTGAATAATTGTAGTAAAAAAATAAATTATTGTTTCACATTTCAATAATGAAATATCTAATTTCAGCACACGACCATACTTTTACATTCCTAATTTATTTTTTTACTACAATTACCTATTCAAAAACATAACTTGCTCTAACTTGGTCAATTTTTATTTAATTTTAATATTTTTTTTTTTTTTGAACTGTTTTAAAAAATATGCTCAACAAAATGGCTATCTTAAAATTTTAAATTCTTAAATGCGTAAAAAATTTTTGAAAATTTTGAATTTAAAGAAAAAAATAAATGAATTTTATGCCATTCAATCAGAATTTTCATACTTAGTACTGTAAAAAAAACCGCGTTTAAATATAGTGATTTACATGGAGATATTAAGGGTGATACGGGACTTTTGGGACACACTGTATATTGCTACAATAGCAGTTAAAAAATATTAAAAATACATAGGCACAATTTTTTTTTATAATCATTTAAAGATCAAATTTTGACAAAATTTATAAAATGTTCAACTTTTATATCTAAGGATTGAAAATTAAAAACAAGATTCCATGTAAGTAGTTAATTCTGTTACCAAAAAATCTAAATAATACACAAGCACAGTTTATATTTATAGTCATTTTAAGTTCAAATTTGGACAAAATAACATATTAAAAAACCTAGAATAACTATTTTAGTTATTTTGTTGTGATTCTATAATATTATTCGTGGGTACTTGAAACTTCTAAAGTACACTATTATATATCTATGATAGTATCACAGTTTGTTGTTGATGTATAACGTATTATAAGTACCTAATGGATATTGTGATATGTTTAATTTGGAATTTATTATAGGTCATTTTTTTTTAATACCATAGATAAGTATATAATATGTCTTATACCTAGCCTGACATACCGTCTCCGCTCAGAATCGTTTTTCTTATGCAATGATATTTTATCATTGAATTCAAATTTCATACCATCCATTATACAGTGACCCACATGTAACCTACTGTACAGCAGAGCGACATCCACATGCCGACCTTCTTTTAATATTTTCATGTATTTTCTATGTTATTATTAATTAAATAAATAAAAAATAAAATGTCACCTTAATTTAATTTACTTTTGTAGATTTACTGGAAACTTTATCAACATGGTTGGAAAAACACATTGATGAGTGCAAACAGCATATGCTAATTTCATATTTATTAACATTAGCATATGTAAATTACAAACCTAACAATATGGACAACGTAATTCAAGTTTTTTTTTTTTTTTTGTTTATTTTATTTTTCATTAATGGTACAGTTGTACATGGATCATTTCTAGACTAATTAATTAAGATTATTTTTAGGTGTTCAAAAATACAAAACAATTTAATGATGTTGGTAATTCAAGCACATGGCTAGATATTATTTGGAGTTTGGTAGTATTAGAAAAAGCAAATAATGAACATTTAGCATCAGTTTTATCACCTGATTTTATTTCTAATCTTATGAAATTGAAAGGTAAATAAAATGAGCATAATTCACTTTGAATAATTTTTTCTTGCAATAGCTTTTTTATTAATTGTTTATACTTAATCATTGTTTATTTAAATATATGTATTATAATTTATCTATTTACCTATTTTCAAATTTTACAAAAAAATTACTTATTTATTGGTATACCACTCATTATGGAATATAAATTAAATAAGTCGCATACTTGCGTTTCACAATGACTTCAACCAAAATTATTCCAAGTCATAAAACCAGTAAAATAAAATAACTTTTAATTTATCAATCTATGAGATTGGGACTTATCTGTTATTAATTTATCAAATAATGTATATTACATTATTCTTTTAATTGTTTGGCAGTAAATTACTGCCCAGTACCCAGATATGTTTAAACTTAAAACATTAATAATAATTCATATTTGTTATTGAATAAGACATGATTTAAAAATATCTAATCAAAATAGGCAGTTTCTTTTAAATAATTCTTAAATATTTTTAGAATGGTTGAGAATAATTAAAACATGGATATTTTATAACAATTAGTTTTATGTGTTCTAGGTAACAGAGTTGTATCAATAAAATTACTTAATATAAATGGATATGCTAAGACGAAGTTAGATTATAAAGGTACATAATATTATATTATCAGTTCAGTATTACTGTTATTTTAATATTTAAGGTTTTTATAAAAATAGTATAATTAAGAGTACTCTTAGTACCAAATTGTTGATTTCATATAGAAGTATAATGCAACATTTTTAAATTCAATACTCTATAGTTTCATCTGAAATGTATAGAGTTTTGAATTTATAATTAATAGTTATTTATTTCTTAAGTTATAACTAGCATTAAATCATTAAAAAAAAAACATTTTGTTGGTTTAAATTAAAAATAAATATATACAACTAATATTAATTTATTTTGTTTTAATACAGGACCATTACTAGATTCCAATTCTGAGATTTTTAAACTTGAATTAGTGAGATCAAAAGACAAACAAGCCTTAATGACAACTATGATAGACACTTTATCAATCATGTTTCCATCAGATTTTGTGAAAACTGATGTTAAAACAGATTTAGGGTTTATAATTGGTAAGTTTGAATTTTTTGTTATGGAATATCTAAGTTGAAAATTATTGTATCATAAATTCATAACTCATTCGTTTTTATGTTGTTAAATTTAAATTCTTTGTTTTCCGTTTAACAACACAACAGTTTCAGTATAACATCGGTTTTAATATCAGATTGTATGTAATTTAATTTTAGTAAACTTTGTATGTAAACAGTGCATACACACACTTATAGAATTCCAAGCCTTTATTAAATAATGACATTATCGATTTTATTGACATACCTATCGTATGAATTCTACATTCGGCTTATGGGGTAGACAAAGGTCACCAACCTGACGGGGAATGTGTTTCTTGGGGTTGCGTGTACGTACTATTGTTCTTATTAGTTCTTTACTTGATCAAAAATAATTAATAACTTGTTTAACGACACTACCTATTACCTGCCCTGCATGGTAGTTTTCATATATTCCTTATTAGCTATTATATATTACCATGTTATTTATTGGCAGGAACACATTCCAACTAAATGCATGTAAAAGTGTCACTTATCTCACATTGTATTTTCGAGGAATCTAAATCTTAATTTGTCGAGTAATTCATGTTAATCTATTTATACTTGCCATCAAACAAAGTATAATTGCTTACAAAATGTGTAGTTTACAAGTTTTATGCAAAAAAAAATCAAATAAATAATTATAATACATTTGATTGCATTTGTGCTTAATCAGAAACACACTAAAACTATAAATTATTAATTGTGTTTATCTTTAACGAAGATTCTTCATACACCTTTACATAATAATAAATAGTAAACACACACAGTGCCATTAAAATAAGATAAAAATATTATATTATATTTCCTGCCAAAAGCCGAATTATTTTAAACAAAATGTATTATTTAAAAAAAAAAATATTACTTTTATTATTCTAAGTTACTGTTGATTCTACTAATAATTAAAATAAAGTGAAATATTACTACTTATTAATAAGTAAATTATCACAAATTTGGAACAATAGTCGACACCTTTCAGGAGTAGACATTTTTGTCTATTCATATAAATGTTTAATATTATAGTGTTTTTTTCTTATCATGTGTTTAGTATACCAATAAACAAAAATTTAGCATAATTTTGATGTGTAATACTCCATTAGGTTTGTGTGTGAATGAAAAGATCTGAATAATATATGGTAATCAAAGTATTATATGTTATTATTTTAGATGCAGAATGTGTGCTCGATTCAAAATTAAATCCTATACCACTAGATAAATCCAGGGTGAAGAGTCCAGATACACATTTAATAGCATTTATGTTAACCGGATTTCATGACACATGTCGTGGCTGTCACAATGAACCTAATGGAATTTCAGCACTCAATGCACGGCTAGCTCACACTCTTGGCTACAAAGTACTAGCCGTTCCTTACACAGAATTAGGAACTCGAGACACATTAGTTAACAGTGTTCAATACCTAAAAGAAAGTCTTAAAAATTTGTTAAGTGAGCCCTAGTATAAATAGTTCTGTATTTGTATGTTTATTGTTTGTATCTTGATTAAATTGATATGTTTAAAATCAAATAGTGTTTTTATTGTTTTGTTTTTCACACTTGTAATATAAAAAACTAAGTTCGTATGCATCTGGATTCGACCCGGCTGAATTGCACAACATTTTTGCATACCACGAACAAAGGTTTTCCAATTTTGATATTCGACATTGACAAATCAAAGCTCCATGTGATGAATGTTGATGAGAATCAATAAGTAATACCTATACAAATAAAATATTTTTATTCTCAGAATAATGTATTTATATTTTCATCCATTTAAAAAATGTCATATAATAATTTAAATAATCAAGGATATTCTACATGTTGGTCTAAATGAACAAAAAGCAAAGTTACCAATAGCAGTATTAAACTAATTTAATCATGATCGTTTTTAAAATACATTGAATTTATTGGTTATAAATTATATAGATTGAATTTATACAGCTTTAAGCTTAACAATGCATTTTAAATCTTAAAATGTTCATTATGAAATAAAATTGAAAACAAAATATAAAGGAATACTTACCGAGTTCATATCTAATTGTATTACTATTAAAATTGCTTTGTTGTGAGCAATAAGAACTATGTAAAGATTGTTTGGTTGACAACACGGGGGGTTTGTGTACCATTCTATTACATAGCGGTTCATCTCTGCATACAAGTTGATTATCATATTGTTAAAATAAACTGAACTTTTCTAAAACGAGCAATACAATTAAACAAACAGCCCATTAGAAAACAGTAATATTTTTCGGTCATATTTAAAAAAGAAATTATAATTCCAGGTTGCATAAACAATTGCTAGCCATTTAATGAATCAATATAGCTAATGGTCCTTTAAAGTGACCGATGATTCGTTCATTAAATTTTAGTGAGTCATTACAATAATCAATTATTCAAGCAACCTGGCATAAATGTTTTAATTTTAACCCATTCAGTCATGGTGCCCAGTGATGATTCTCCTGCTTTCATTGCTTCTGGCACGGTTAGGTTTGTGTTCTGAGATGAACTGCTGTTTTTGAATAAATTTTGGTGGATTACATTACCATTTAGAATTGCATCTGAAAACAATTTAGTGAGGCTGTCTTTTGCCGGTGGTATGAACAAGCAATTTACTCGGATTTTTGATGTATTTATGTTTGTAGCCATGAGTAGAGCTATAAGAGTACACGCATTACTTCCTTCTATAGATACGTAAATTATAACATTGTGACACAGATAGTTAATGAATAACATGCTATACTGTACTTGAATTTTTATTTCCTAGTCTTGATTGTGAAAATGTAGCAGGGTACCACATGAAGTGTATACCGTATTTGTTTACAAATTTAAAACTGTCTGCATTTTCTGTGTTGTATTGACATGCATCACATGTCATCTTAGTGTTTCACAATTTTGATAAAAGTTTCCTGTAAATTTATTATTAAAAGTTCTTTTGTTTATTTGTGTGTTTTAAGTATTATTATTTATACTTTTGTGTAGTCAATAGAAATATTGAATGCTAAATTAAATAAACACAATATGATATAAATATAAAATTATAACCAATTGTATAACAATAAATATATGCTTTAATATTTTATAATTTGTTTCTTAAATTCTTAAATTTCACTGGAAAATTTTACTGTGGTCGAGAGAGTGATGGAGGTTGAATATTTACCGACCCGGACACTGTTTGAAAATGCTCCCAGGGCGGCATAGTCGACAGAATTTGTTTTTATTATTATTTAATTGTTTAGAATAAATAACAAATGGATTATATTTTATATTTTGATTATTTGTTATTTGAATGTTGTACAAAACAAAAATTTAAATTTAAAATTGTTGACAAGTGAGATACCTACAGGTACCTACCAGAAAATTATATGATGTGCTCAGTATTCTCCCGTATTCATCTTGCCAAACAATTATGATGATGACCGCATGACATCATAATATATTATTATATTAATATATTGTAAGTTATTATACAACTATACACAATATGTCAATATGCCGTATGAGCACATGAGCACAGATTAAATTAAACAATGATTCAATTATATATTATAATTAAATATTTCATTATTTTAATCTGTGATAGACGAGTTATTTTACAGTACACATAGGTATTGTCATATTATACACTACAATACCTAGCTAATAGGCAATACTATAATAGTATAATACCTACACATGTCAAGTCCAGTGGCGTACGCAGGATTTTTCAATGGGGGGGGGCTTGAAAATTAGTTACAATTTTATTTTGTCCAGTCTAATATAACTTCAGACGTTTATTTGAGGTACCTATTTTAAAATGTTTGTAACTTCTCAGCCTTTCTGGTAGAAAAATGCTCTGGTCATAAACTTCGATGCCCGATATATTATGTTTTTGGAAGAAAATTGGACCTAGTTGGTACTTTTAGGAGGTCGAAATTGAAAATGCTCAGTGCTTTTCAAAATAATTGGAAAAAAAAAATGAACATTTATTAAAATTGTTTGGTAACCAACTTGGTTATACTGTCCTCATTTGGATTGTATTTGATTAATACAATTTTTTTTTATATAAATGTCAATAAAAAATTATTTATCCGGTCAAACAGCTTAAAAATGTAATAGGTACCTAGGTAAGTTTTTATTATAGCTAAAACCCACCAAAAACATATGTGTAAAATGAGAGCCAAGTTCAATACCGTAAAACGGGGTGAATAGAAACACTTTTGAACTTTGAAGTATCATAAAAACTTTTCTATTTGGGCTATATAGATGATCAATACATCAAAATACTGGTCTCATTGAGCACTTTAAGTGTGTATATTCAATTGTCTTTTTGTTAAACAGATTATTTTATATATTTTTTTAAGTGCTTTGTTTCTATTCCCTCGAAAGATGGTGTCAATAGAAACATATATGGTTTTTTAGTGTATTTTTCTATTTTACTAATCGAAGGGTTGATAGAAACAAATATTTAGGTTTTTAAAAATAAAGAGAACAACATTTTAATCTATTCTGTGGTTTAGAGTTCATCGAATTTCATACAAATTTGTTTTCGATTTAGTGAAGGTTTCATATTGATAACACGAATATTCAGTCGGGGAGACGTCGAAGTAATAACTTTCTTGATTTTGTTTCTATTCACACCATCGTTTTTATTCACCCCGTTTTACGGTACCGTCAATCGAGGTGACTTGGAACGATTTTGACATATTTCTTGTTATTCTGAGCTTAAAAAAAATCACACTGGACTACAAAAAATACATAAATGTTTGCATACATCTCATGAATAGGATAAGACCTTTCATTTAGTTTTTTGACCAAAACTGAACTTAAAAAAAAGTAAAAAGTACGTGTTCCAAGTCACCTCAATTTTTGGGTGACTTGGAACAGCTATGAAAATTTAATGTGAAATTCAATTCAAGAACGTTAGAGATGACTTGGAACAAAATTTTTATTTTAAAAATTAACACAAGAACATGTTAAATAAATATTAAAAAGAAACAGGTTAACTTTACCTTTTTTTAACAGTAAACTAAATATTTAAATAATAAAATATCAATAACATGATAAAAACAAAATAAAAATTCTTCCTAAATAGAAAAACATAACTAAATAGTTCTTCAAAATAAACACAAATACATTTTAAATATCATCGAGGGCCTGTTAAAGTGTTTCGTCACTGTCATTTATATATGTCCGGCTACCCGGTATACGCTCGTATTTGTTTGGCATTTTTGGTGTTCCAAGTCACCCTCAATTTTCTTCTGGAAAATAAAACTTAAGTTATAAAATTAGAAAAAAATGTTTAAGGACTTTTAACTACAAAAGTCTGCTTTTGAAGTGTCCTTTAATGTATAAAAAATATACAAATCTTTAAATTTGACTTCAATCACCAACATTTGAAGCACTTTTGAGAGCAATGATAAAATCGTTGTTATCATAAGAAATGTTTGGTTATTTTTTTCGGTGGTAATGATAAGACCAACCACATGGTTGATGATAACATTTATTATCACAAATATTGTAAATTTAATTTAAATGCAGGCAGATTTAAATTATATCATTTTGTTTCATAGATAACCTGATATGTTTAAAAAAAAACCGAGGTGTTTCATTTCACCTCAAAGTTCCAAGTCACCTCGATTGACGGTACTATAATATATGCCTTGGTTGTTGACTTCAACTACAAAATAAGTGAGATCTAAATGGGTGCCAAGTTAGGATAATATATTGAAGCCTAAGGTGTGACTTGGCTACTTTTCATATACGAATTATTATTATAAGTACCTACTAAAACAGTAATGGAAGAGTGAAGATGATTTTCCGAAGAATAAAATAAGAACTCAAAGCTTTAGAACTTGCAAATGCTATAATATATAATTCGTAGCCAAGTCAGACCTTAGGCTTCAATATATTATCCTAACTTGGCACCCATTTAGATCTCACTTATTTTGTAGTTGAAGTCAACAACCAAGGCATATATTATAGTATTGAACTTGGCTCTCATTTTACACATATGCTTTTGGTGGGATATCATTACTTTTTGTATGTAAATTATTATAACTAACCTAACCTAGCCATGACGTATTCTATAAATAAAGTTTATTACTATATAATATAATTCAGTTACTAATATTAATAATAATATTTATTATAAAATATTTTCCGTTGTATATACAGAGTATAAAATATATGTAAAATTAATATACAATTATTTTAACTCTTTTTGAGTATATTTTTAATTATCATAATTTTATTGACTGTAGTTTCTACTGCTGGGTGGATAATTCATAATTTGTAAGAATAATTATTTAATTATTTTAATTGTAATATTTAAAAAAAATAATACCTATTAATTACATACATAGATAGAAAAAAAAGTATGTTGCTGCGCGCGGGTCGACAATATCGACACATATTCGAATATATAGCCGATCGGCTAGTCGTATTTTTGGAGCGGCGATACGGGAAAGGTTATTTAAGTCAACATTACATTACAGTACATTAAATTAGAGGCAATTATTATACCTAACCTAACCTATAAATTGAAAAATTAAACATACTAGATAAAATAATTGCAAAATTATAATAAAATCAATTGATTAAAAAATTAAAAATTAAAAAATTAAAAATTAAAAAATTTTAAATTAAAAAATTTTAAATTAAAAATTTTCAAGTTTCTGATTTTTTCCTTTGAATTTACCTAACTACCTATCTGTATGCCAAATTTGAACTTTCTAGGTTATCTGGAACTGGGTTAGAATTTTGATCTATAGGTAAGTCAGTGATAAAAATGACGATTTTCGGACGTTAATATCTAAATAACGGTTTGAAGTGTGTTTATGAAATTTAGAGCACATATGTATCTCGTTAGTCTCAATATATGAGCCAAATTTGACATGTTTATGTGGAATAGTTTTTGAGTTATGAGGGGGTCAAAAGTGGCTCCAAATGGTTCGTGTAATATTACACACGGTGCTGCTCGCCAGTTCTGTTAGCTAGAACTTGGCTTGACACACTACCGCGTGTCTAGATATTAACGATACATATTATAGGCATCATGGTTATTTTTTATAAGTATTTATAAAGTTCAAATTTCGTCAAAACCACAGTTAATTTGTAGTTCAAAACTTCATACAAAGTCTTTCATACAAGTATAGTTCATACTTTAACCGAAAAATCACAGATAATTTTAGGAAAATTGGTAATTGGTTTTTTTCAAAAATGAATTCATTCTGGTAAGACGCAATAGACGCATATGCAATTTACGTATTGCTTACTATAGATGCCAGATTGCAATTGAAACTCTATAAATATATTTTTTTTAAAGTAATACTAATACAGGCAATGGGGGGGCTTCAGCCTGTTAGCCCCCTCCCCCCCTGCGTACGCCACTGATCTCGTCCAATCGTGTATACACAGGAATGTCAAAATACGATTGTAATATACATTAAATGTATAGAATTTATTTCGCAATACAGATTTGGTTAAATGTCAGGCAAAAGTTAACCCAAAAGTATCCGCAACAGAAACCTAACGGTGAAAAAAGGCCAAGCTCCAAATTCCCTCCTAAAAAATTCGGCCTATGAAAGTAGTGAAATCTACATTGTGGCCAAGTCTGCAATTTTTTAATTCATAACCTCACTGCACTCCTACATTAAATAACAACACTCCTCTTTTCTTTGTATTGTTTCACACTTGGCCAGTTTCTGAATGACGCATAAACTAGACTTGGCCGCAATGTAAGTAGATACCACTACTACGATTCGCTGGCTTTTTGAGCAGAAATGAAGGGTCAAGTGCAACAACCTGGTATGTCCACTTTTGGAATTTTTCAGAAGAAGAAATAAACTTTTAAATTCTTTAATATTTGTAGTCATACCTACACTTTATGTTTATATA